GCACTCTTCAAGCTCGCGTACATATTGTGTGCCCTGGTCCGCACGCTCGCCACGCAGGGCTTCTGTCGGCCACCCGATGTTGAAGAGGACGCCGGCGGCGGTGAGGCGGGCGAGGCCACCGGGGGCATGGGCGTCGGTGAGGGCGCGGGCAACGAGAACGTCAGCAAAGAGATTGAGGACGAGAGCCAGGTTGAGGGCATGCGCGGAGAAGAGGGGAAGGATGAGCGACACGAGGATGGCGAGGATGACGACGCTATAGAGATGAACGAGGACGTGGGCGGCGAGCTTGAAGACGTTCCGGACAAAGGGGAGGATGACGCGGAATCCGGAGATGATGAAGATCAGGAGTTGGACGAGAAGATCGAGGATCTGGACAAGAATGATCCGGCGGCGGTCGATGAGAAGTTGTGGGGCGACGAGAAGGGTCCCGAGGACGATACGGGTGCGGATGACAAGGTTGACGAGGATAGGTCGAAGGAGCAGCAGCAGGACGAGTCGGAGGTCGTCGCGAAGGAGGGCGGCGAGAAGAAGGAGCAGAAGGAGCAGAAGGGCGAGAAGGGGAAGAAAGAGGCGCAGGACGAGACTGCCGGGGAACCGGAGACAGAGCAGGTCGAGGACGAAGAGGCACCGGACGAAGCGCCCGGAGAAGAGCAACCTACCACAGAGGGTGCCCCGATGGATGAACACGTCCAGGACGCCGACACGCTGGAACTGCCGGACGACATCGACATGGACGCAGGCGAGAAGGAGGGCGACCAGGAGGATAAGGACGCGCGGGATGACGAGATGATGTTGGACGACGAGCAAGGGCCGCCGGAGTCCGATGGCGAGATGGACGATCGGGAAGGTGGAGATGAGCGCAACGATGGCGACAAGCAAATTGAGGAAGAGGCGCTGGAGGACGAAAGCATAGAGCCTTCCATGCAGGTCGACGACGTTCGGGAGGAATCTGCAGCGGATGACAATGCACCCGATGGCGAAGCGCCTGCGGACCAGCCAGACGTCACGACAGGCGACGCCGTTGACCAAATCACGAGCGAAGGTCGCCCCGATGCTGGTACCGCGAGCGCGTCAACCGGCCAGGGCGCCTCGTCCGCAGGCCAGAAGGGCAAACAGGCCGGCGAGCAAGAAATGAACGAGGAGCAGGCGGATGGGTATGTGAATATTGCTGCACATTCTAGACCTATTCTGACCCCACTTGACAGAATGTCGCCGGAACTGCAGGAGGTTGTCGACCCTAGCCAAATCGATCAGTCTGGCGGATCTCGCGCACAAGGCGTGCAGCAGGGCCCGCCCCATCCCAAGGCAACGCAGCGGACGACTCACTGGACCCGCACCGCAGTCTCGGTGATGCCATGAAGGAGATCCAGCGCCGCTTTGACGAGATCCTTCGGTCCGATACAACGCAACAGCCAAAAAGACGGCGCCAGATGCGCAGGCAGACCAGGTCGAATATCTGCAGCCTGAGGACGCAGATGCGGAGATGCAGGCGCTCGGGCCCGCGGGCGAGGAGAAGACGGCCAACTTGTCCGAGCTGAACGTCATACAAGGAGACGAGCTCATGGAGGAGTCGACGATGGAGCTTGATGGGATTCAGCCAGATGAGCGGCACGCTATGCCGCTGCCCTCGGATGGGCGCCCGCAAGGCGAGGAGCTGTCCACCGAACCCAAGCAAACTGACCTCGAAGATGCCTTCATGCGCCACAACCCATCTACCACAATCCCCGATTCTGCTTCGCTCATCCTCAAATCGGAGGACCGTGATGCCCAGGATCAAGCTGACACCGAGGAGAGGGACGCGGATGTCGAGGCAGAATGCGAGAGTGGCAGGCGACGGGCCATGCGGAGGACATGCTCGACCACCTGTGGCGCCGTTATGAGCACCTCACTCACGATCTCGCTTACGCGCTCTGCGAGCAGCTGCGCCTCATTCTGGAACCCACGCTCGCGACGCGGCTACGTGGCGACTATCGTACGGGCAAGCGGCTCAACATGAAGAAGATCATCCCGTACATCGCCAGCGACTACACCAAGGACAAAATTTGGCTGCGACGCACGCGCCCGAGCCAGCGCGAGTACCAGATCCTCATCGCGCTAGATGACTCGCGCTCGATGGCGGAGTCGCACTCGGTGCATCTCGCGTATCAGACGCTTGCGCTCGTTACGAAGGCGCTGTCGCGGCTAGAGGCCGGCGACGTCGCTGTGGCCAAGTTCGGCGAGGGGGTGGACGTACTGCACGGCTTCGACAGCGGACCATTCACGGATGCGGCGGGTGCGAAGGTGATGGACGCGTTCCGGTTCGACCAGCGGGCTACGGACGTGCTCAAGCTGGTGCGTGCGAGCCTGGGCATGCTGCAGACGGCGCGCGAGCAGCGGGCGACGGGGTCGGCGACGGCGGGCGACTTGTGGCAGCTCGAGATCATCATATCGGACGGGATGTGTCAGGAGCATGAGCAGCTACGTAGCATGATGCGACGCGCGGAGGAGCAGCGGGTCATGGTCGTGTTCATCATCATCGACTCGTTGCAGAACCCGACCGCAGGGACAACGGGCCAGCAGGCGGGGTCCATCGTGACCATGGACAAAGCCGAGTTTAAAAATGTCGACGGGAAGATGGAGTTGCAGTTGCAGCGCTACCTGGACTCGTTCCCCTTCGAGTACTACGTGGTGTTGCGGAATGTGGAAGCCTTGCCGGATGTGTTGTCGACTACGCTCAAACAGTTCTTCGAGCGCGTTACGGGATCGGAGTAGCCTAGTATATATATATATGTAGAGCATCAGGCCTTCCAAAAACATGTATCATATCAGCATCGCGAAACGAAATGAACCATGGATCACTTGGAAGCAAGAAGATATAAGTATAAGTACTGTATACAGTGGCGCGCCTCGGCGCGTCAGCGACGCGCCTGACGCGTTACGTCACGCGATTCAGAAGTCACCCCTCTCCTCCTACAACCGCATCCTTCCCATACGACGACGCAGTCAACATGGGTATCAAGGGCCTCACTGGTTTGCTCTCAGAGCATGCGCCCAAGGCAATGAAGGAGCACGAGATCAAGACGCTGTTCGGCCGCAAGGTCGCCATAGACGCGTCCATGTCCATCTACCAGTTCCTCATCGCCGTCCGCCAAAAGGATGGTGAGATGCTTACGAACGATGCCGGAGAAATCACGAGTCATCTCATGGGCCTCTTCTACCGCACGATACGCATCGTGGAGAATGGCATCAAGCCCGCGTATGTGTTCGACGGCAAGCCTCCAGATCTGAAGAAGGGTGTTGTGCGTGCAGGCATTTGTAAGACATCGGACGTCGAAATAACCGTTCCCGCAGCTCTCGAAACGTTTTGAGAAGCGAGATGACGCCAAGGAGGGCGAGGAGGAGGCGAAGGAGACGGGTACAGCGGCCGACGTCGACAAGTTCTCGCGGAGACAGGTCAGGGTCACACGGGAACACAATGAGGAGTGCAGACGGCTGTTGAAGCTTATGGGCATTCCCTATGTTGTGGTGCGTACACTAAACCGTACAAACTGATTGCGTCCTGACCGTTCTCTTAGGCGCCTTCAGAAGCAGAAGCTCAGTGCGCCGAACTAGCAAGAGGGGGCAAGGTAGGCGAGCCTTTAACGTGCTCTCGCGATTTACTCTGACACTTCCCAAAGGTATACGCCGCAGGCTCCGAAGACATGGACACCCTCACCTTCAATGCACCCATCCTCTTCCGCCACCTCACTGTCTCCGAGGCCAAGAAGCAGCCCATCCTGGAAATAAACCTCCAAGCTGCGCTAGATGGCCTCAATATGGACCTAAGCATGGTGCGCACTCGACCCCCTTGTTCTGCGGCACAGTTCTCACTCATCCCTTCCTTCAGTTTGTCGACCTTTGTATCCTCCTCGGGTGTGACTACCTCGAGCCCATCAAGGGCGTAGGACCCAAGTCAGCCATGAAGCTCGTTCGCGAGCACGGCGGGCTCGCTGGAGTTGTTGAGCATCTCCGCGCAAAGCAGGCGGAGAAAGACGAAGCTGCCGCTGCCGCCGCTGCGGAGGAGAGTGCGGACGATGAGCCCGCGCCGACCAGTGACGTCGAGCAGCCGGATGCGGATGAAGATGAAGATGAGAAGCCGAAGGAGAAACCTAAGCCCAAGAAGGCGAAGGGTAAGGGCCGCGGCGGGGTGACTATTCCAGAGGACTGGCCATGGGAGGAGGCGAAGAAGCTATTCCTCACACCGGATGTAATTCCAGCGGATGATGTGGAGGTACGCTGTGTGAGCCTGGGATGTATACCTACTCATGCAATTTCGCAACTTACAGCTGGATTGGAAGAGCCCAGACGTGGACGGTCTCGTGCAGTTTCTTGTGAACGAGAAGGGATTCAAGTGCGTGACATTTTCTCACACTGGACATCCCCTTCTCGCACCCCTGCATCTTTCCACTTTTACTACAACCTTCGCACGTCGACTGCACTAGCAAACACTGAACACTGTCCTTTTTTCAGTGAGGAGCGTGTGCGCAAAGGCGCAGAGAAGCTCGCCAAGTTCCTCAACGTAAAGCAGCAGGGCCGCCTCGACGGTTTTTTCACCGTCAAGCCGAAGGACAAGCCCGAACCGAAGGGGAAGGGTAAGGGTAAGGCGGATGCGAAGGGGAAGGGGACGAAGGGGACGAAGCGGAAGGTCAGTGTCCTTGAGTCTCATGTAGTGTGTTTGCTTTTGCGACTCCACCCGATTCGTCTTGAGTTTATATATCGATGTCTCCTTGTCTCTCTACCTCGATTTCTCCTCTCGGTGTCATTGTTTCTCCGCTGACACCACATCCTCACAGGGCGATGACAAGGCAGAAGGCGGGGCCAAGAAAAAGACGAAGAAATAAATGAACGCTAGCGTGACAATGTGTCACACCACTATGTCACAATGGTCACACCTTTCCTCCTGCTCGTTCCTTTCATATCTTCCACTGTTCCAGTTGCTATATTGCTTTGCTGTCCCTGTATTTAATGCAAAAATTTGCGTTCTCCTTGGCGGGGAGTTGAACCCCGCTCTCCCGCGCGTGACGTGACCGGTTGAACCATCGTGTCGTATGACAGGCGGGTGTACTAACCGATATACTACCAGGGAGATGGTGTGGGTACTCTGTATTCGTATACCTCTCAAATCGACAAGCATGGTAACTGCGAGCTTGACTTTAAGCATTTGGATATCGAGACTACCCTTCTGAGCTGCTGGTACAGCTTCAGAACAATTGAGTTGGGTCGTCGAGCCGGACAAGATGATTGCTTTCTAACATTCAATGTCGTTCGAATCGACAGTCCCAAGGTAGTCACCTTGCTTGCAAGTCTTCTTCACCATGCTTATTGAGTTTCTCCGATTGTCTTCCGTACATAAACGTAAACAATGACATCGCTACATATTCACGTGCATATCACATGCGTGGCCATCCCGCTCCGGAGTCCGCGTCTCAGAGTCACCGCTTGTACCATCGCGTCCTCTTACGCGAACTGTTGACAGCGCGCGATCGCTTTTGCTGTGCTCGCCGCTCTCGTCCTCTTCTCTATCCACGACTGCTACTCACCGGTCACCTGCCATGGCTGAGTGTCCTGAAAACGAGAAAACGGTAACGGTCGTGCGAAAGGACATTGACGAGCATCACATAGTAGACTCAGAGACGGCCAGCGTACTTTTGCTCTCCCCCTCTCTTCTATTCCCACACATCTTATGACAGCCCGCCGCGGTACCCTGCACAGTATGCAGCCGGATCGTCGACAAGGACGGCCGATATCAGCGCTTACATCGATTCCCTCGACTGAGAGCATCACGAATCGACCGTTTCATGCGGCGAAGGTGGCGACCAGATGCTGATGCAGAGCTGACATGGCCACTCGACTTTACATACGCGGCCTGGCTTGTTACAAAGCCAAGGTCGTCACGTCGTGCGTAGCACTCGGTGATTCTTTGGTGCTCGGTGCAGCCTACACCTAAACTGGAGCCATGATAGTGCGCGGCCGAAGTCACCTCGTCGCGTTAGAAGATTACCGTCGCGGAACGGTGCGTGTGTACACAGCGTACAACTTGTTCGGTCTAACGTGCTGCAGGTTGGCGTACGCTGCGGACGGCTTCCACTACTTCCTCATGGCGGCCCGGACGCGACAAGCGCAATAACTTCGCCTCATTGGAGGAGCTGGGCAAAGGGGACAACGGTCATGGTCCCGCGTCGCCCGGGCCCCGATCGTCGGGCGCAAACAGTCCGACAAGAGCATGAAGTTGATGAACAGCAAGTTACCCACAGCATACCCGAAGGCGCTACCGCCCCCGCGCATCTTCAAGGCGCCCTCGCAGCGCGGGAACAAGTACACGCGCGCTCTGTACGACTTCTCTGGTGTGGCGGACGAGCTGTTGTTCCGCAGAGGCGACGAGATCGCAGCCATCAGCAAGGTGACCGATGAGTGGTGGGTAGGCGAGCTCGCCGGGCGACGCGGGCTGTTCCCGACAAGCTACGTCCTCGAAGTGAACGAGGCCGGGCGCCCTCTCACCGCGCTCCGCGCGCCAGCCGTCCTCGCTCAATGCAAACGACTTCGAGGACGAGGACCTCAACTCGCGCCCGATGGAGCACAACGACGCGGGGATGTCCCCGCAATGTTGGCGCCAGCAAGCGCGACCCGTTCGCACCGAGGACGTTTGCTTGTTTCTGACCGATATCGCCTCTGATTGGTGCATCATTACTTCGCTGGGGTTTCGCTTCTCTTTATCCTGTACATGATCACCCCGCTGCTACCTCACGTTACCATTAGGTTACCCTTGCCATATAGCCCGTAATTTCATCAAATATATAGCTGCCTCATAATCATAAATTTCTCCTTTTCCTTCCAGGCAAGCAAGGTCGGGCATCCGCACAGCGGACGCTTATCTAGTTACTTATATGACATGAAGTTTTGGATCTCAACAGACAGCCTTTTGGTGGAGGTGCAGTCGTTGGCCATCTTTGGTCTATGCAGCGGAACCAGCACCGTGCCGCTGTAAGGCCTACATGAGTATGCGCCACTCTGCGACGTCGTCTTTGCGATGTTATTCGCACCTGGAAAATCAAATGAGAATGATCAGTCCGCCGTCACGAAGCCTGTGTGTAGGCTCGCCTGCCTCTGCTGTCGGGTCTGCACGAGACTCACCGGCGGCGGGTACACTACATAGACCGGGGGTTCCTCGTATGCGATCTCCGAGGCCTGCAGTCGCTGCGCCTCCAGCATCTGCAGCCGTACGTTCATATGCTCCAGGGTTGTGCGCAGCTCTCGGCCTTGAGAGCTCACTGTCGTCGAACTCCTGCCACCACGCCGCTCAACATCCGCGTTGGCATACCGCACCTCTCCGTAGTATGACCTGCGCAGGCCGTTGCGCGGAACGTGAAAGTGTTGCCGCGCGCTCGACGTGGGGCCGTCTTTCTCGTGGCGGCGTATAAGAGCCAGACAAGTACGCTGAGCACTAGAAGGAGCGCGAGTGTGCCGCCGACGACTCCACCAACGATGGCGCGCGTTGGAGATAAGCTAGTAGACCCACTAGCAGCGTTCGATGTAGCCGAAGCGGAGCTAAACGTACGAGAGGAGGAAGATAAAATTTGAGAGGCGACGCTGCCGCTCGTGACTGAAGACGATGTCGTCCCGGTACCCCTGGGTGGCGGCCCGGACCCCCAGGGTGGTGTATAGGCACCCCATGACGGCGTACCCGTGCCCACAGCGGCCCAGGAATACTCGTGGAGGTCAATGTTGGGCTTGACATAAAGCCCGGGGTCACTGTCAGTCCGAGTGTGCAAGTCTTCCTCGCGCAGATTGTGAATACCATACGGACGCGCCCGCCGCTGCCGGTTATGTAGCCCCTGCCATGCTCGCAATTCTGCCGTGGATGAGTGGGTCCTTCCGGTGGGGAAGATCAGCCAGTGTCATGCGTTAGCGATGGAAGAGCGCATCGCAGTCCATAAGGCCAACGGGCCATCGGCCAACTTGCAGCAGCCGACATGCTAAGGAAGATGCTAACGGATCATGTCAGTAGACTTGACCTAGAAAAGTTAACCTACACTGGCTCGAGTTGGATGCATTGTTTACGGACCACCGGCATTGGGTAAGGCGTGGCGCGATTGGGATGATCACCGTCGTCGGTCTCTCGGGCTGGACGCAGGCGTTCGCAGGTTCTAGCAAGGACTAAGTAATATCATCGTCTCAGGACATGCACGGCGCCGGCGCGCCGGCGACGCTCTCCAAAGAGTTCCCCCGCGCTACGCCGGCTTTGTTTTCGTGCTGCATGCTGGGGGACCAACGTGATCATTGAGGGAAAGGGGAATGAGAGCATGTCAACGTACCGCTCGCGAGAGTCTATAGGCGTGCGTCCCCTTTCTTAAGTGTAGGGGCGTTCCTATGCAGTCTTGCCATCCTGCACGTCGCCCGGAGTACCGTCGCAGCGTAAGGGCTGTACGTCAATCAATGATTGAACAGATCACTCACCTCAGTCCGGCGCCAACAGGGTTTCGACACGCCCACATCACTTCAGCAGAGTCCCATAGAACGTATCAGTGGTGGTTGTACATAGTATACAATGACTATCATGTCGTGATCGCTCTTCAAAGCAGGCTTCAGAAAGAGGGAGAAAAACAAGAGAGAAAACAAAAATCATATACCCGAAATGTGCTCCCTAATCTTCAGGGTCTCCAACTCGTCCCAGCTATCCGCCACCCCAAACATGAGAGGCAGCTTCGCCCATACGAGAGCGCGCCCGTCCTCAAAGTCCGCCTTCGCCACGCATACGCATTCCTCGCAGAGGCCCTTCTCCCAGCGAGGCTCAAACTCGATCATGAATGGGTCGATCCAGTCCCACTGCAGCGACTCCTCCATCCACTCGATGCGGCTCTGCTTGCAGCGGTCGGCGCTCTGGCACGAGTGCGAGGTGTGCGACGTGCGCAGGAAGCTCAGCACGTCGTTGAGCGTCGCGTAGAGGAGCTTCGTCTGCGCCTGCAGGCAGGCGAAGCGGTCGGCGATGGACACGCACTGGAAGTCGAGCGCAGACTGCATGGTCTCCTGGTCCGCGATGAGGCCACGGGTGGAGACGCGGTACATGGCATACGGCCGGATCCAGGGGAGGTCGAGGGTGCGTGCGAGGAGAAGCGCTTCGCCGTCCTCCTGGCGGGAGGGCTGGAAGGTGCCGAAGCTGTTCAGGACCCCGGCGGCAGCATCGACTGTGGGCGGCGGGAGCTCGGTGGGATACACTGTGTCGAAGTGGCGCACAGCACGGTGACGCAGCATGAGGATGTCGTACTTCGTGGCGGCACGCAGAACCCCAGCGGCGATTGCAAAGGTCGTGGGAGCAGGGGCCGACTCGAAGAAGCTGCAAGACAGTGAGCATCACAAGACCTAACACTGAACGACCGAACACGTACTCGGAGTAGTATATGGCCATGAAGAGGTAGGTCATATCCTGCGCTGCGTCTCCCGGCAGGAACACCACAGGGCACCCATCGATCTTCTCTTCGTCACAGGCCGTCTGTGGCAGCGAGAGCATGCCACGAAAGACGTTCGAGTGGATCGCCAGAATCGAGCGATGGACGCGAAACTGCGTGTCCTCCGCCTGGAGCACGATGTTCCCGTCGTCGAACCAAAGTTCTTGGACGCGCTTGAGAGTGCGCTCTTCCCCGTCGCTGTGGACGGGGCTTCCGCGGTCCCCGTTGGCTACTTCGGCCGAGTCGCCTGCGTACTCGGCGCTCTCCTTGACCTCGCCGACCGAGGAGGCGGTCGATGATGACGTCTTGCAAGACATGCGCATTTATGCAAATGCAACGAGGTTGTGGAGGAGAGAGGGGCGAAGCACCATGAGAAGACCGCAGACGGTTCGTGGCAAGCAGAGTGACGGTCGAAGACGAGAGTTCACGAATCCATCATGCCACCGCCGCAGTCTGGACCCGTGTCTGGGGCATGCCAAACATGCCACAACAGCGCACGTCTTTGTTTTCCAACTTCACGTGCTTCTCATTGTTGCAGTCATGGACGCAACGAGTACAGTCGTGCTTGACAATGGAGGCTCAACAGTCAAAGCTGGAGTCGTTGGTACCCATCCTGACCCTTTGTTCGTCCGCCATTCACGGT